GAGGGTTGACATCCAAATCCATAATTCCAGTCACCAAGGATTTCACAATCTTAATTTGAATGACGCTCTATCTTCTTTGTTTGCCAGTCTAGACAGTACAATGAATACAGTGATTTAAAACACAATGAATTCTCTCTTAAAACAAAATATTTTGTAAAATTGCTTTTTAATCATTTCTTTTCTCTCTTTCCATAAAGGCTACGCTATAAATAAACCCTGAAAGTTCGCATTTGATCATCGTTTCTAAAGGCTGGGCAAGAGGCAAGTGAAGGGTTTACACAGGAAAAAAAGAGAGGCACTGTGGAGCAGAAATAAAGGGATGCATTCATGATTTCTAACCTTTTGTTGGAGTGTCAACGCTGAGACAGATACAAGCCAGTAAACACTCTGCTCTCCATGGAGAGACTCAGCCCAGCAGGGTTATCCCTGCCCGGAGAGGGACACAGAACCAAACTCCCCAAGGCCCACCAAGATCTCAGGACAAGGTCCCATTTTGCTGCTGGGAAGATCAGCAGCCACTCAAATCCACTTGGTCTTGGTGGCTGAATTCCAGACTCCAGCATCATCTGGGGCAGGGGATCCAACACTTGTCCAGGGCAGCCTCAACAGGCAGTGGATCCCCAAGGGATACCCTACTGGAACCCAGGGAAAATCCTACCTCCAAGGGAAGCCTAACTTTGACACAGCAGCTAAAAGGTGGAAATTTCAACTGTTGTCTGTTCAATTATGGGAAGGAAAAGGTTTTTTAACCCTGGGTGGGTGAAGGCACCTGGAGAAGCCCATCAGCCTGGCACAGGAGCTACAGGAGGTGCACACAGGGAATAGCTTCAGGCTGGAAGACCCATCTTCCCTGATTCCCTGCCCTTGGGATCCTCCAAGAGCTGCCTCACAAACCCCAGCACATCCCACAGGAGGAACCCACATCCCTTGGGACTGCACAGGGAGGCCAGTGAAGCCCACCTGTGGATAGAATCACAGAATCACAGAATCAGCTAGGCTGGAAGAGACCTGGGAGATCATCAAGCCAAACCTAGAATAGTCCCCAGACTGGATTTTCAGCAGTGACTCAAGGACTGATGAGGTTGAGTATTTCTGAAAATTAATGGGATGTGAGCCCTTAAAGTACACAAATGAGAAATAAGATTTAGGGACATCAGCATTAGTTTAGAAAGTCAAGTAAGAAAATCCCAATTAGGCTTTTTCTTTATTTTGAGGCCTTACAAATTGTATCCAAAGTTAAATGGATAAAGCATCCGAGCACAAATGCAACTTCCCTGCTGTGTTCTCACCACTCAGTCATTTTGGTAATCCCAAGAAATGCTTGGACTTTCACGTAAGGTAGCTATTAACAATGAAACAAGCACAGATCATTTCAAGTTCTCCTGTACCATTTCAGTGGCTGAAAGCACGTGGCTGCACATGGAGCAGCAAAGCACCAAACTGGGGGGATCAGATGCTCACACTCAGGCCAGTCTTGCCTCTCCAATGTTTCTGTTCAGTTTTCCTGTCACAGATCCAGCAGCAAGAAGGAAATAATGTAAAAGTTGCCCCATTCACAACAGGCTGAAATGTAGGAACGTTCTTCCCACCAGATCTGTCCCGATTCAGGATTCAGCAGGTGTTAACCTTCAAACTATCAGAGTGACTTTCCTTACACTTCTAGTCCTCACAACAAATAAAACATGTTCTATGTAATAATTTTAATTGTTCTGCAGCAGTGATGAACCTCTCTCCCACTCATCTCTATTCCATACACATAAACTCAGCAAACAGATGTCTTTAGCATCATTTTAAGAAGTCCAGTGACAGATATATTTGGATTTGAGGGGCATAAATAGATTTCTTGAAATGCTGATGTTGAAGAATTACTTTTAAACTTTTATAAGAATTTTAAGTAAGCCTGCTATTTCCTTCCAGGCCTTCATTTAGGGATTGCTTATTTCACAGCTTGGAGATGCAAAATTCATCTTATCTGTGTTTACAGGAGTTACATGAGTGTATTTCTGTAACACAGGCCTAACAGAATATTACTTTTTAGTGGTATATGACTGCATGAAGAAAGCATGTGATGGACCATACAAAATATTTTTCTAGTGTTCCCCCCCCACCACCTTAAATTTGTTTGAGTTATAGGGGCAGATCTTGGCAGTGTGCACAAAGCCCAGAATCTGTAACTCAATTCTCTGTGGGTTTCTGGATGGAGTGAGCCAAGCTTTAAAACACACTATGGATAAATATTAGAGCTGAGCAAAAATTTCACACCTAAGACCAAAGTGTGAGAATTTGGCTTTGATTCATTTAGTGAAAAGGTGAAAAATTTCACACAAGTTTGTATTTTCCTTTTGCTCTGATCCAGCATCAATTTCTGTCTGTATCAAACCTCAGAGAGAGAGAGAGAGAGAGAGAGAGAGGGAGGAAGTTTCTGTCTTCTGTGCACATGAGGTACAGAGGAGGAGGCAGAAGAGGATGGAAGGATGGAGGGCTGGCAAGCAAGACACCAGCTCAGGACTTGAGTCTGTCTTCCAGGAAAAGTCACTGGCCTCTGGAATCTCTCTGTCCATATGTTCAGTAACAGCACTGGCCCTTCTTAGAGGAATACTTTATACATTTGTTTGTTCCACTGAGGCAGCTCAAAAGAAGCCCAACATAATTCCACCCTTCAACCATTCAACTTTGAGCTGACAGAGGCCAACTGGATGGATCCTGAGCACTAAGACAAGGTGGATTTCTGGTTCGAGCACTGAATCAGATTCCAGAAAGTTTAAAAACATTCCTGGAATTATCTGGGACATGTAATTTACTCTTCTAATTTTCAGCTACCTCTCTCTGCAGTGGGCTGTGCCATTTCCCCAGTCTGGTTTGGCTGGGGCACAGTTTGCACACTCGAGGGGCGTCCCCAGTTTTGCTCTGTGGGTGCCACATGAAGCTCCCAGCCCCACTGCACCTCTCACCCCTCACTGAAGGATGAATCACCCAACCTGTCCTGCACCACCAGAGCAGCTTTTCACTCCCTAGCACCAGAACAATGGAAAAGAGCTCTCACAGCAGCAGAGACAAGCACAGGTAAGGCCACAGGATGACTTCTGCCCCCAGAACACCAACTTTGATTCTCCCTCAGTGTGTCCACAGAGCCCAGCCAGGCTGGCCAGCCACAGGCACAGCCCTATGAGGAGCAGAAGTGGAAGAGCAGCTGCTGGAAGGGTGCCTTGCCATGCCAGCCATGATATTAATTACTTATTCTGCAGCCCAAATTTAGAATGGGATGAGGGTCAGCTCTGCTTGCCACATCATCTATCAGCTGGAAACTATGTTTGGGTCTAAGCTCCAGCCACTCTGCTACTAAATATAGGTTGGTTAGTTGTTGATTTGAGTCTGCACTCCCCCAGGTTGCCTCTGACTAGCAAATAATTAAGCACTTTGCTTTGTGAGGGCTCTGCTGCTGGCATCTCTTCATGCCCAAAGCTGCTTGGACACAAACCTGACAGCTTAGCAGGGGTTTCAGCTTCCCTGGGCAATGGAAAGAGCCCAAGTGCTCAGCTCCTGTTTCAGCTTCACAGACTGCTGGCACTGGGTGCCATGAATCAAGTCTGTGGGCACCACCCAAACAGTCTGGGGCAGGGCTTAGCTGCTCTTCCCCTGGCATGAGCCCTCCATGAAGGGACTGTTCCCTTCAGTGGCTCTTGTGAAGGTCCCAGCCCACGCTGTGGTGCTGGTGCTGCAGCTGGAACACGCTCCTGACTCCAGCATCAGCTGGCACTGGCAGCACATCTCCCTCACGCCCTTCTGAGGTGGAATAAGTTTAACCACATACAGCATCGCTGTTAAAATAGACTAAGAAGGTCTGTCCATTGAAACCACATGAAAATATATTGATTTAACACAGTTTTTAGGCTTGGAAATGTTATGCTGACAGGCTGCTGTGTTCAACAGAACACAAGCTCAACTGGGAGTCAAGAGAGCAAATTCCTCCATCAGCTCCTGATGCAGGGCACTGCCCAATCAAGCCTCTCCCTACTCATCCCTCCTGGGGATGGAACAAATTAATCCAGGGAATGCTCCTCTGCATGACCTGCAACACATTGCTTTCCTTCTCTGGCTCCCTCCTCACCCTCTGCTTACAGCATTTTTCCCAATGCTTTTAGCCTCAATTTTAGGTGGCAAAGCCTTTGGGGAAGGCAGGGCAGGTGTGGGATTCCACATGGACATAGACACCAAAAACTGAGCTGGACACAAAGCAATCTCTCCCTGCAAGGGTGGGGAGGCAGGAGGTGCCCAGAGAAGCTGTGGCTGTCCCTGGATCCCTGGAAGTGTCCAAGGCCAGGTGGAACAGGCTTGGAGCAGCCTGGGATAGTGGAAGATGTCTCTGCCCATCCCAAGATTCTGAGTTACACCAGGGAGGGTAAAACTGAGACTGAAGACCCAGCCCTGGGGATCCTGACACTCACTGGGCACTCCATATTTAGCTGCACCACTTCCTCCAAGGTGCAAAACTCAGATTTATTTGGCTGATTTTTTCCCCATCCATGATGAACATTTAGCTTTCCTCAGATTTAGTCAGCAAGTTCAAACTTTTATTTGCCATCTGGCAACAGACTGGGCTTTACTGGGGGGAGGGGATAGGAAAGGGGCTTTTTTTACCCTTTTTTTTTTTTTTGCATCTGTATTTGCTTTATGAGCTATGGCTCAGGCATCATTTACACATGGGGAACTGGATCAGGTTGTCCCAATTCATTCCATATGTTCACTTATGCTGTCAAAACATTTTTTGGATCTAATTAATCCACACACGTCTCTCTGTTCATTTCCCCACTTTGGGCAGTTTCAGCATTTTGGGGGTACCTTGCTGGGATTGCCATAAATCAACTTCTGCCTATACTTTTCTTTAGGGTTACTTCATCAAGAAAGCAAAAGTATTTGCAATATTTTACTTTTCTTCATCTTTCCTTTCCTTTCCTTTCCTTTCCTTTCCTTTCCTTTCCTTTCCTTTCCTTTCCTTTCCTTTCCTTTCCTTTCCTTTCCTTTCCTTTCCTTTCCTTTCCATTCTTTGCCATGCTCCAGTGTCTACCTGAGGTTAATGAGGAAAATCCCTGCTGTGAGTTTTGATTTGAGAATATTTTTTATCTGGTTAATCTGATGTGTGGTTTACTATTAAAAGATAAAAAAAACCCTGTACCTCAGAAATATGCTTACATTTTACTCAATCTGGACTGCATTTAGGAAATTACCCTGGACAGGGGCTCATAAAAAACAAGAGACCTTTAGGAAGAGTCTTTCACTACTGTAAGCCAATAGAAGGTTGAGATATTAAAACAGAGAGTGAAACTGCATTAAAATATAGAGAGAGCCTTCTAGTAACCTTATAGATATCCCATGTCCAAAAAAAACATCATTTAAGAGATAGAGATATCCAATGAGTGATGAACAGAGAATAAATCCTAGGAGAAATGAGAAATCTGTTGGGAGTTTAGCCTGGACTGCATGGCACAGAAAAGGCAGCTGTCCATGGCACAAGGCATTTGGTTTCCTTGCCATGATTGCTACAGACAAGGGGTCAGCAACCTTTTCCAGCACACTGCTCTAGAAAGTATTTTTCTTTCCCAAATTAAAGGCTAGCAGTGACTGAGCTGAGTGAAGCTGAAGCAAAGCACACTCATCATTGCAGGGGGGTGGACTAGATGACCTTTAAAGGTCTCTTCCAATCCAAACTATTCTAGGATTCTGTGATCAGCTGATGATGCTGTCCTGTTTTGTTAAAAACTGAGCATCCTTTCTTCTCCAGATCTGAATATCAGACAGGGATGAGAAACTACTGCTCCCATTTGTCTTCTGCCTCTAGAACTGCCATCCAGGAGCTCTCTTGCTTAAAAAAAACACTTTAAATGCTGATACATATTGCTAAACAATGTTATTTTGGGAAGGATTCCTTAAAAACCTGGGAAGCCTGATCTGAGGATGGGATGGCCAGTCAGTTGCCTAATGTGCTCTAATAGCAGCAAGGGAGAAGCTCAGCCTGAGTTGTGGAATTCTCATGGACACAGAATTGAGAGTTTAGGAGGAAACTGCAAAAGTCACACCAGAATAGGTGCTCTGCTCCCCTTGCTCCTGAAAACTTTGGCTTGTATCTTTTTTGAATACCACTGAGAAATGGTAAATAAAGTTCCCTTTAGCACTAAAACTTCTCTGTCAGCAGGAATCTCTTTATGTGCACAATATCCATGTACTGCAAACACATTTATCGCACAGAAAACCTGTAGGCACAAACTTGAACAAATTAATTTGGAATAAACTGCTTTATTGGCACACGTCAGGTTACCCTCATCACCACTCTGGCTGACATTTTTCTATATAAAACCAAACCCAAGGGCTATTTATTCCCACCTGCCCCAGAGCCAGAAAGAGCCTCTGATAACAGTAATATTCCATAACCTCTGTTACTGAGCAAATCAAAACCTGTCACCCAGCAGGAGTTTTAAAGGTATCTCAGGCATCTTGTCCCTTAGCAGATGTTCTAAGAAAGTGTTTGTATTCATTTGGCAAACAGAAAAAGAGCACATTTTATAATTGCCCGTGCCCAAAACAAAGGCTGGTTCTGCCTGCAAGCACTCCAGTTGGAATTAAAAATGAATTTGCTGTGGGAGTGAGGCAGCAGTGGCATCAGAGCTGGGCTGGTCACAGCCTGAGATCCAACTCAGCACCATCCTGAAAGCTGAGATCCCACAGAGAAGAGCACCCAGGACAGACACCACCTTCCCACCTCCAACTTTAGGCCAGGTGGGAAGCCTGGGGAGCTGGTTTATAAGCTCTCCTTTTATCTCCAAGCAAGGCAAATAACACCAAATCCCTCCAGAGGAATGTTCTCACTTTTGCTATCCCATCCTATTTTCCCAGCCTTTTAAGAAGCCCCCAGTGAGCTGCACCTTGTGGCTCCTGCTTCCAAGCAAGCCTTGCCCCTTCAGCCACTTCAGTGAGAAATTCCTAACCCACTGCTCCTCAAGTGCTTAGGGAGAAAACTCTTCCCAGCACACCTTCCATGACTGTAGTCACTGGATTCATTGGCTCTGGAATTTTAACCTTGGACAAGCCACACAGGCCCTGAGCTCAGCTCAGCTGGTCAGAACATGGTGCTGATAATGCCAAGGGTATGAATTTGATCCACATTTGGGGGCCCTTCACTTAAGAAATGGACTTGATCATCCCTGTGGGTCCATCCAACTCAGAATATTCTGTGATCCCATGAAGCCTTCTGCACCTCAGTTCCTCACATATTCCATGAAAATCACTAACACCATGAAATCAATACCAAACACTCAGGAGGAAAATCTGGCCAATATGGGATACAACTGAACTTTGTGCTTCACGATTCAGCTGATCTAAGTACTGAGCCAATTCCTGCTGCTGAAGATCTGTCCTTTTATTTAAAGAATCAAGCTGGGAAAAAGAGATGAATAGCAGAGGCCCAAATGGTTCATGGAGCTTTTCACTTGTAGGTCACTGAGCAGAACCTCAGTGAGGTCAGTGAGTGTTGGGAGCTATGGTGGGATGCCAGCTTTTTATTGTGTGCTCTTTAAAGGGATTTACTAGTTTCAAATTAATTGAAATTTAATTTCAATAAATTTGAAAGCCTAACCCTATGCAGTTTTCTCAACATGAAAGGCTTCATTGTCACAGCTCAGTGACTGATAACTCTTTGCACAGCCTCACAGGAGAAACTGTTGCCACCACCTGAACGTTTCCTTTAAAAATCGCTCTCGGAGAAGTGTCCTGACTGTGAACTGAGGCTGGAGGAGCTCAAAGAGCCTTCCCCAGCCGTGGGGGTGGGCACAGCCCTGCAAGGAGAGTGGCAGTACAGCTGCACATTCTGTTCCTGACTGGAGCAGAACTGGGGAGAGGCAGAGCTGGCCCTGGGGCTGTCCTTGCTCCCCACAGTGGCTGCTCCAGGAGGGAGGTGAGTGTGTGCTGGCAGCACCACAGCCCTGTTCTCTGCAGAAAGTACTTTCTGAAAGGAAAAAAAAACAAAACAGAAGAAGCAAAAATGAACAACTCTATCATTATCTGATGTGCTGAGATCTCAGCAGAGATCAGCTCAAAGATCCATATTGTTTACAGCAGCTGATGAGTCTCACAAGTGCTGAAGCTGTGCTCTCGCTTAAAGTGCTAACATATTTACAGTTTTCAGTCCTGTCCTTAGCACTTATCTGTCATTTCAAGATGAATGCTCCTTTTGTACAGCCTAATCACTTGCACGAACACTCCACTAGCTCAAAATCCCAGATTTGTTTCGCTTTTCCATTAGCAGCAATTCTGTACTTTGGAAATTGCTTAATGCAGAAAATCTGAAAAATAAAATAAAATAAAAACAACTAGTTTTTGTTCAAAGGTATTTCTTTGGCTGTGATGAGTCTAGAATGGAGGAAAAAATATGAAGTTACTTTTTATCTGATGCAAGTCTGAATTTTACTGCACACCTTTCTAAACACACTTATCCATTGTTCTGCTCTGGCTTGGTTATTGACATTGGGGTAATTAGTGAAGATCTATATAAGATCAGACACAATCAGCAACATATCCAACTAAACCCTTGATAAGAAGCCTTTTTTCATGCTCAACAATCTTTTCTCTATTCATAATATTCCAAACATTTGGTAGGAACCCATCCTGCCCCCTCCTCTCCCAACAGTAGGAACATGTGCAATTAAGAGCTGTCAGTCATTCTGGTTTTACAGGAATAAAGGAATGTGGGTCATTCTACAACTCAGTAACTTAATTTAAAAAAATGCAACCCAGGCATGCAAGAAAAAGGATACAGTTCTAAGGAGGAGGTCTTACCCTGCTGGATGTTTTACATTACTCTCATTGGGTTACTGGCCTGTCACAAATCAGTTTCAGATTCACCTCAGAAAATGCTCAGCAATGCAAGATGCATCTGGTGTTTCTGCTAATCCTGTCCCCACTGCAGTCAAAAAAGGGCAACACCTGATTTTCAGAAGTCTCCATAAATGTCTACAACTGTAGTTTAGGAGGGTCCATACCTGAGCAAAAAGAGCACCTCAGTTATGTGCTGGGCCTAAAGCTTCAGGCTGGAATGAAAATGCTGATCTGGAATTAGCCTTTGTTCCTAAGAAATTGCCAATCCAAACCCTGAGTGAATTTGTGCTTTAAAGGATGTGGTCTCCCATTCTTGCCCAAGTATTCTCTAAAAACAAGAATTCTGCATATGCAGTGCATTTTTGTGCTTATGTACAACACAATCTTTAAATGTTCTGAATGTTGTAAATACTAAAACTCGATATAAACATCAGAGCTGTAACCATGCCACAGTATATAAGCCATTTTCCACATTATATACATAGCAATGAAAATTAACATAATAAAAAACTGCAGTTCTAATGTAAGATTTTGAAGTCAAAAGATTTTCCAATTATGTGTAACTGTCAATCTACAGCCTTTCCATTCTGACTTCTTTTAACCCACCAGAGCATCACCTTTAGCATCATCATAGATTTTCTTTGCACTTTTTGTTCTATCACTAATACAACAATAAACCTCACCTCTGAGGTATGTAAACATCACTAGATGTGCTAAACAAGTCAGAAGGATGGAGAAGAAAGTTACACAACTTGGCCAAAGTCACAAAGTCAGTGGCTGAGGTGGGAATAAAGTTTATGTACTCTGCCTCTCAAGTTAGATAACACAGATTGTTTTCTCATTGCAAAATTCTGCTTTTATTTATACTCAGAAGAACTTGGTGCTGCAGTAGTTTGTGTCACTTTGAACTAGCACAGAGCATCTCCCATTACCAGGCTGTTAATAAGAACTACTTTGGCAAACACCGAATTTTTCCTGTGTCCTTAGGAAATACCACACTACATTTTAACAGGGTATTTGATCTGGAAAGCCAGGCTACTCACTCCTTATCTCCAGGACATGAAACAAGCCTGGGATTTGAGGTGTCCAACAGTTCTGGACATCCATATCTGTTCATGCTTAAGGAGTTACAATAGGAGCAGGGAAGCTGATAAACCAAGAAAAGCCCTTTTTCCTTAACCCTTCCTGGTAACGCTGCAGATAAATCCACTATGGGCGGAATATGAGCAAAAACCTCTCCTGCCCTAAATCCTACTGTTAGATGCTGTGTTGCATCTATCCATGGGAGAGTTTCCAGCTTTCTGAAGGCACAAGCCAAAGAATGGCAAATACCATCATTTGGAGAAATTTAGACAGTTACAAAATATATTGAAAAAGGGTGCATGGGAGGAAAATTGGGCAGGGAAGCAGGAAGGCAGTGGAATGACTCTGGTGTGAGAGATGCTGTGTAATTAGCCACTAGAGGGAACAAGAGTCATGCTCTTAATTAAGGTGCAGCCTCTTTTAGCCGGTGGCCTGAGGGTTATCCTTGCCCAGGGAAGCTAGATGGGGAGGGGTTGAAGCCTTTCCCTGTAAACTTCGGAGTGGGACAAAGCTTTCCTGCCCTTTGTCAATGTTTCATCTTCCCCTTTCAGGTCTCTATAAGCCTTGACATAAGCAGGGAACAAGACTTGAAGAATTCATACACCTTTCACATCTCCTACCTCCAATTACCTATTTTTTGCACCTGGTAAAAATGTTTAAGCAAAAACCTGGGATCAGAAGGGATGAGACAAAGGAGAGAATGAAAAAATAAGAAAAATGGTAGAAGAGACAAAGCTGTATTTTGCAGACAGGGTACACTTTGGTGTTGGCTCTTTTGAAGGAGAAGGGAAGAAAAATCACATTCACATAATTGCAAATGGTGTGAAAAATGTGAAGTAATGCTCTGCTGGCATCAATAGACTGAGACACTGGTCAGGAGGGATTGGGAGGACCTGTACCCCCTCTTGCCTGCTGACCTGACTGGAGCTGCATGAGAAAAATGAATGATGTGAAAAGCAGAAGCCCCTGTTTCTCCCTGCTGCTGCTGAAGGACACAGACCTATTCAACAGCATGGCAAGGACAGGATCACAGACAAACAATCTTTTTATTACCATAAAAATAACAAATAAGTAACAGTTACAGCCTGTAAACATAAGACTCAAATTAAATAGAGTTTTAAGTGGTACAGTGTAAGTGGAAGCAGGATCCCACTCCTATTAGAGCCGGCTCAGCCTAAAGAGTATCAGATGTTACCCGGGCCTTAGAAGGCTTGGGACATAAACTATGTGTGTAAGAGAAAAAGAAGTCAAATGACTCATGACAGAGTTTGTTTTAATATAAATTACTTCTTCTGGCTCTCTGCTTTTAAAGCTTTGCCATGTTCAGATCCTGAACAGCTAACCTGGGCAGCTGGCTCCCTCAGCCCTGTCCTTCAGTTTGTGTATAAAATGCTGGCATTTACAAACTCCTATTCCTCTGGCTGAGGAAGGACAGTTTATTTTAGCACTGTGATCAGTGCCATCATAAATCTCCTCTCTTCCAGTCCAAGAATACTGGCACAGCCCAGTCAGGGCTCTGTTCATATGCTGTGCCCATAAAACAGAGGACATGCCATGAAGCTTTACTGAAGTCCTGCAAGCCTTGAGAGGGGACTTGAGGTGAGGGATCAGCACTGACTGAGCCACAAACCATCCCTGACTCTTTGCTTTTCATTACTTGAGGACTTGAGTAAGGGAATGAGATGTGGAAAGAGCTGGGAGAAGGAGAAGAGAGAAGAGACCAAGAGATGGGAAAAGAAAAAGTGAACATTACTAAACAAAAGAGAGGCAAAAACAAGAGGCAAAAATACAAGAGGAAAGAATGAACAACATCAGAGTGGGAGCAGGGCAAGGGACATGGTGGCTATTGGGGATTTAGTGCTGAAAGAGCAAAGCCCCATTCCTATCTTTATTCTCTTTCCATGCCTGGTTGTCCTCTGGGATGAGCAGAATGTCCAGAAAGCCACACGTTTGGCATTTTGAGCTTATGGCAAATGTGCTGAATATCTACAGGGACAAAGTTATACAAAGCAAATATAAAAAAGCAAATCTTGCTTAGTCTCCCTTTCATGCAATGCAAGAATCATCCCTTAGATGGGACTATTGCAAAATTAAACAACCTTGCAACTACAACCAGTAAATAATGAGTAATGTGCTTGTATGCTCAGAGCTTTTTTGCCAACCAGTCCAGGAACGTGAGGAGAGCTCATCAGAAAAAGGCCACATTTATCAGAAGGGCTTCACACAGCTTAGCATCTTTAGGGCCATTACTCACCTCCCACACCTAAGCTAAGTGCCAGATCCCAACCTAGAGCCTAACACACATCCCATTTATCTGCTGGAAGAAACACAAGCTGCTTCCCTCAGTCTGGTCTAAAGATACAGCATTCAACACCTAAACTACTTCAAGTTAACAGAAATGGGTGATTTCACAACTACATACAGAAAACCACCAATCTGGGAAAACTGGGTGAAAATTAAGTCTTAGCAGACATTTTGAAAGCAAAAGGAGTCTGAAGGCTACAAGGCTCAGCAGTATTTTGCTGAATACATCCCAGGTGTCTGTGCTACAGGGCTGGGCAATGAAGGCACCTTTCAAAGGTGATGTGTTATCATCATCCACCCTGTGGATTTGGGAAGGAGAGGTTGGGATGGATGATGGTACAGCCCTCCCATATATGCCTGTCCTGCAGAGACTCTTCAAAGTAAAAACTATTGATTAGAAGTTGGTTTATTTTCCAGAGTGTTCTTCCTTGAGGGGTCCCTTGTGCTTCCCAAGCTCCCAAAGAAGCGACGTGTTCAGATCTAACCATCCCTCTTTAGGGAGGAGTCCAAAATTGTGCTTCCCCCAGAGCTCCCACATCCACACTCTTCCCTAAAACCTCTACCTGGCAAAGGACTCTCTGGAAGCTGTGGCAAACAGCAGCTGACAGCAGGTGCTCACACAAACAGGCCCTGCATGGGTCAGGAGGTATTTCTGTACTGAGTGTTAGTGATGCTCAGAGGAATGCAGCTCCCAGGAATGCTACACATTGAGAACATGCCCCATAAATTATTCCTAAGACAACAACCACACTCGCTTTTGCTGTGCACTTATAAGGCGCAGCAAGAACCGGGCACAGCAGTTCTCCCTGTTTGTGCTCTTCCAATGTTTTTCAATATTCTGGAGGAATATCTTTGTGCAAAAATCTGCAAGTCAGGCTTTTCTGTGCCCACTTGGTGGTCAGCCTTTCTGCCTTTATTTCCCTCAAGAGTGACAATTATGGTCTTGCTACTCATTACGTGGACATGTGTCCCAATAAAAACAGAACAGAGCCACAAAAGAATTTCATATGGATTTTCTATATCACACTGTCCAACTTTAAACTGTGCCTCAGAAATTTTAAGCACAGGACATGTGAAAATT